ACGTCAAAAAACGACATTATTTTTGCACCAACCTAATAACACCTTCCACGTCTTGTACTATTATTTCGTGTAATATACATTCGTTATTTCTACTCTTGTGTTCGTGTTGTTCTTCCTTGGTCCTAACCTGGACCATAACAATTACCTAAACAGAAACTCTTGAGCGACAAACAATATGTATTTTGTTCTGCTTCGTTCATTGCTGATATCATGCCATTACGCAGAAATTCAGTAAAGCTTTAAACGATAAATGCTTCATGAGGTCGATCGCCTAAGATATATCGAAGCCCTTGGCAAGATGCAGCTAAAGTGGTTGCTACACAAGCTCTGTAGCTACGGATTCCCCGAAAGTCTTTTTTTCTTTTTTTCGTTAATGGTCACTCGTCCGAAGTTCATGAGATCAATACTGGCTCGCCTCTTTGTTCTACCCTTTTCTTCTTTATATTAATGAGTGTATATGAGTACACCTCCGAAAATCTAGATAACCACAGACTGGCAGCTGATCTATCCTCTGACCTAGCTGTAACAGTTCAATGGAGAAAAAAAAAGGTTTATCACATTTAGTAACTAAAAAAACAAGTTAGTAACATTCCATCATCACCAAGCAAATCCTGTATTTTCGTCTATCGCGGTGATCGGCTTTCCCCCTTTTTTACTTGACCAACAATTTGAACTTTAGTGAAAATCGTAAGTTACGATCCATCGCTAAGGATACCTGAACAATTGTTGTCCCTTGCACTGCTCTCGTATGACACAGATTCCTCCTAATATGCCTTTACTTTACACGAGTCTGATCTGGGGCTGTCTGGTTTTCCCTTTCCAGTATTGATACAGTTCAAAAGAAACTACGTGATCTTGTGGGTGATTAATTATTTTCAACATTGCAACCCCTTTCCTACAGACGAAAAATTGCAAGCCTCTTGCTACCCTATCGCTATTTCCTTGACAAATGTTCTGACGCGCTACATCCATTAGTGACACCAGTTTTGACCTTCAATGCCTAAACCCGCCATGCCACATACACTGAATCGAAACACACACATTCGTTTTGTCTTCCATTAATGAGGAGGAAGTTCCACCCAGACAATAAACACTTTTACCTTTACCTTTGCTCTTGTGGCTTGTATAAAGAGAATTTTAGTAAACAAAAATGTAGGTTTATTCTGTCAGTCCAGAATATAAGATGATGTCTTCTGCCATGCTTCAAGTTATATGTAGATTCAGAGTAACCTGGATTAATGGATGCCATTTACGGAAAATACGTAAGAAAGGCGTAAAAAGTATAAAAAAAGAAAAAATGCTCAAAGCTTTAAATAAATCAGAAAAATCCAAGATCGATTAATTATAGTCTATTCTTAATTATGACCATGTGTTTCCTCGCCTCCATCATTAACTTTCGAAAAAGAGGGTAACACTTTGTTTTTTGAAATTTTCTTAAAAATCATTTAACACCAGTCACTTATCATCGCTTGAAGAGGCACAACGTGACGAAACACGAAAGCTATTGTGTAGCGATTTCAACATGTTTTTGTTCTACTCTCTTATATTAATAATGATAATATATATATATATATATATATATACATATATATATATATATGTGTGTGTGTGTGTGTGTGTGCACTTCATTGAATACAACAGACAAGGTGCTTTGATTTAGTTTTTTATACAATTTCTCATGCGATGTATATAATGTTTTCATTTCTCAAAACACGGTCAAGTTATAAATACATACATGCAACAAACTTAAAATATTTCATGCTTGAAAGTGGCTAAATGTATAGCCGAAAGCGCTCGGAATAAAATAACATTCGGACAGTTTTTATATAATTTATCATCTGAAAAGAAAAAAAAAATTATTAGATCGCATGAGAAATTCTATAAAAAACTAAATCAAAGCCCCTTGACTGTCGTATTCAATGAAATGTGCATGAAAGAAGGATTGTTGCCTAAATACACACGCGCGCGCGCACACACACACACACACACACACACATATATATATATATATATATATATATATAATTTATTTTAGGATATTGCACCGAAAACATGTAAAATCGTTTCACAATTGCCGTAAACAATGACTGCTAATGCTAATACTGCAAAGATCTTCCCCGAATTGAGCCATCTCGGTCATGGGCGTGTTTATTCGATGAATAGGTATGTAAAAATTCGCCTTCCTCTCTAGCGGGCGCTGATAGCTAAGGGGCAAAATCTCTGACTGATGCAAAATCGATCCCGACTTGAGGCAATCAGATGTCAAGCCACACTGATGAGCTGTGATACAGCGAAACAGTCTGTCTGTGGATGACGATATATATACTAATAAGTAATCTGCATTTGTTACACGCTGTTTGGTAAAACATATAGAGTTGTAGACATGGAAGCTAAACACAGCGGCGACAGTCTGTTTCATGCTAAGACGCAATCGTCAGACTGTATGTGTTGTGTTTTTGCTAGAATATTCATATATGCAGGTCAGTGATGTAGCCGATTGTATTGTTCTAATGTAATATCAACAACAGTAATCGATAATGAATAAAGACAAATAACACTATAAATACCCAAAAAACTGCATCCGGATCCACAATTATTTCCACCCAACAACCCCTAGAATAATTTCAAACATAACCGTTACGGCCCACAAAAATAACCGTTAGAAAAATACATTAGACTAACCAAAATGCACCACTCACCTGTATATATGGATAGTCGAGCAGGAAAACAACACATATTATAATACTGATCTTTCAAGTTTCATCAAGGAAAGACGCCGTAATACCATGCCATTCTAAATTCAGGAGATATCACAAAAACAGCACAAACCTTTGTAAACATATATGGAAAATAAAAAAGGAAATTCCACGAAAAATATCATGGAAAATAAACATCAGCCTATAATAACAAATCCAAAAACTGTAAACTCTTTTTTTTTAATCGAATTCACCACAAGTAAGACAGCAAATGAGTTACTTGTTGAAAGAGAATTAGGGAACACAAGTATCATTGACGAACAGGAATAAAAGTTTAAGCAGTAGACAGTAATAAACAAAAAAATCTAAATCAGTAAACAAACAAATTAAGTAAATACTCAACAAAATAACAAACTATGAACGTCCACTTAGACATAACTAAGTATAATAATAATAATAATAATAATAGTAAACAATAAATTATTAGGTAATAAATAATAAATAATGAGTAAAATATTAACCAGAAACACTAAAATAACTACAAAGAACAGCATTAGAATTCACAATTATTTATATTCAATAACTTCTAAAATAACTGTTATGGCTAACCCAGTAACTCATAGGATAATACAGTAGACCTTGCTACTCATAACGCCCCATTGATAAGCAGATAAAATAGTCGAGACTAAACAAAGAACACATGGCCTGAAGATTGCGTTCACACATGAAACATTATTGCTGCTGGGTATTATTTTTAAATCAATAGTAATAATTCGTTCCTGATCAGTTGGTAGAACAACGAAACATTAAGTAGCACTTCGAAGGTAGGTATATGTAGATATATTAATATATACTTCTTAGCTCTGTCTAAACACATTGTGCACTGTTTTGTTTACACCTTAAATTAAATTGATTATATATATATTACCTGTGTATAGACGCTAATATACTCTTAAGGTATGCTATATTTATGGGATAAAGTGCTCAATATCAGAGGTGGAGCGTGTGTAAATATAAAAGTGAACATTGAAGTCAACACTTGAAGGCCTGACGATTGGGTCTAGCATGGAAACAGCCTGTCGCCTCTAAGTCTTGATTTCAATGTTCACTATATATATATATATATATATATATATATATATATATAAACAAGTAAACAAACGTTAAAATCGGCCGATTAAAAACGTGTGTAATAAAAAGTGCTCAGTAAAATGATAGGAACAATAACGTGTGGAGCTATTAAATGTCTTTCTTGAATTTGCAGTTTAAGAAAGACATTTGGGTCACTAACACACAAAAAAGAGAAAATCTCATATCGAGAACATTTAACGTCGAAAAACATAAGATAAATTGATTCTTTTTAATATGTGGAAATATCCACTCTTTGCCTGATGAAGGTCGCGAAACCGGAAACCCGTGTAGCAAAATTATGGAAAATAAAGCATAATATTTAAAAAAATAAAATCCACGTTACAATCAAAAACGTTTGCGGTTTCACTCTTTTTTTTATATATATATATATATATATATATATATATATATATATATAGAGAGAGAGAGAGAGAGAGAGATAGATAGATAGATAGATAGATAGATAGATAGATAGATAGATAGATAGATATACGTCTGCACATTTTCTTATCTTATTGTTTACAAGGCAATTTTAGGCGAGAGGTGAAATCACATCACATCTAATGACGGCCTCATCTAGTGGAATATAGTTTCAAAGCCTGCAGGAGAGCACATATTTCTCGACTATTCAGGCCGGTAGTTGAAAATAAATAAATATTCTATTTAATAAATAAACGGAGCCTCTTCTCAAATACGACCTTCCACTAAAAATGACGTTTAATAAAATATATATTTATACACACACACACACACACACACACACAGCACACACGCACACACACACGCACACACACACACACACACACACACACACATATATATATATATATATATATATATATATATATATATATACTAGCAAATATACTAACAGCGCTCAAGGGCGGTGATCGAAATGTAACTTTGCGTTCTTCAGAAGACACGACATATATATATATATATATATATACAGAGAGAGAGAGAGAGAGAGAGAGAGAAGATATAACCTGTGATACGCTGTATGTACGTGTATCTGTGTATGTGTGAATGTGTTCTTATTCTTACAGGCAGAAGAGATTCCCATTTGTCATCGATGGAAGGTCATGTCCCGAGTGATAAAAATTCTAAAACCAATCCAAAATTTCTGTTTGGTTTTCCATAAAAATCCGAACTTTATTTTTGCAGGACCGATCTATGTTATTTGCCTCCCCGACTCCTCAATTGTTAAGCGTCAAGTGCGTTACCCCCACCCCCGGCCCGGCCGTTTCCCTCATTCTTCATGTCATCTCAAAATGAACATATCTAGACTCCACTTTCTATGCTTATCGTATATTTGCTGTTATTAAAGCCAAATGCCACTCCCTTTCCCTAACACCTATTGGTCATCTGAGACCATCTCGATCACCATTCACTGTTTATTGAGCATCTTTAACAGTGTAAACAAAACTTAAAATCTTCTGCGATATTTCCCGCGCATTTTAACTATTTATTCAAAGAACTTTAGCAAATCCTTATTTGTTTTTCTTTCTCTGATTTTAGTCTATTTCCGTCGGACTTTTCTCCATCTATCTTTGGAAAACATTTTCTTTTTATAATATTTATTTTTATACTGCTTTCTTTTTCTTTCTTTTTATTTGAATTCTTCTTTGTATTTCCTTTTTTAACTTTTACCTTCTTCGAAAAAAATATCAACTTGTTAGATTTTGTTAGTTTTATTCATTTTCCTTCGTCATTTCTTCAACATTTTCTTCTTTATTCCTCTTTTTTCTTTTCTTTTTCATCGTACCTTTCCTTCTTTGTTTTTCGTCATAGGTTTCATTCCATTTTATCTTTTCTTTCTCCATTCTTATCAGATCTTTTCTTTCTCCTTTTTTCATATCTTCTGTCTTTCCTTTTCCACTATATTGCCTTCCCTTGTTTTTCATCATATACCTATTTTCTTTCTTTCTTTCTTTCTTTCTTTCTTTCTTTCTTTCTTTCTTTCTTATCAAATCTCTTCTTTCTCCCTTTACACTAAATTTTCTCTTTCTCTTTCTTATCATACATCTTTTCTTTCGACTTTTTCGTCACAAATTTATTCCCTTTTCTTTCATTATATCATTTCACTTCTTTTATTATATTGCATGTTCTCCTTCTTTTTCATCTTTTCTTTTTAATCATGCTTATTTTCTTCGTCTTTTTCTTCTGTATTTTTCATATTATCCTAAACCATATTTAGTTCTTCAATTGTTCTTCATTCTTTACATTGTTTCTTTTTTTTCTTTCTTTTTTTTCCATATTCCATGTTCGAACTCCTCTTTTTATCTTATTCTTTTTCTCTTTCATTCTTTTTCTCTTTCATTCTTTTTTCTTTTATTATTTTTCTCTTTCATTCTTTTTACATTGTTTATGCTTTTTTTAAAATTCATTCTTCATGTTAATGCTTCTTTTCAATTTCAGTTTACTTTTTCATTCTAGCTTTCCTATATTTTAAATTCTACATTTAACGGCACGAATAGATGTCTGTCTACGATTTTATCGTTCTCCCTCTGTCTTTTTCCTTATTTCTTTTTTCTCTTTTTCTCTCTATCCCATACGTATTTTCTGTTTCTTCTTCTCCTCTGATGTCTGTCTACGATTTTATCGTTCCCCCTCTGTCTTTTTCCTTATTTCTCTTTTTCTCTCTATCCCATACGTATTTTCTCTTTCTTCTTCTCCTCTCTTTTTCATACAGTCACACTTACTCTCCAATATTAACCCTTGCTCTCCTTTTTCTCCAATTCACTTTCCGTCTCAGTTGTAATATTTGTAAGAAATTTTAAAGAAATATGAGTTTCTTACCTTTTTTTTATATTTCTTCTTTTATTTTCCTTCCGTTTTCATTACTCCTGTCCATTGAACAAAACTGCTTCATTTGTCTTTCGAAACGGCCTTCTATTATTTTCTTAATTTCTTTTCTTTCCTTCATCACATTTTTATGTCAGAGTTCATTATTGCCAATTTTATTCTTTTCTTGTTTCTTTTCACCTCGACCCAAGAAAAGTAATATATCTATTTTTCCTCATTTTCTCTCTCTCTCTCTCTAATATCTCTTAACGTTTTTATCACAACGCCATCTACATTATGGCAGGCTTTGTAAACATCTCTTTTCTATGCACAATACATATCCGTTTTTAATCGCTAGCCTCGTTCAATATCACATAGATCAATCAAATTTGGATTTATGGAAAATGGATTAGTTTTCTTTGCAGGTGACAGAAAATATATGAGGAAGAATTTTTTTTTTTTAGGCAAAGCGTCGAAAAATGGGATGAGAAAGAAAGAAGTTGATTTGAATGTGTTCGGAGTTGTTTTGAAATAATTCATTAGGTGCACTGTCGGATGTCATAAGCATTGGCTCGCTCTTTTCGTTTTCATAAAGAAAAAAGAATGAAAGAAAGAGAAAACTCGTTTGAAATTGTTTCTGCTTTTATTTTCGCCATTGTTTTATTCATCTTTTTTATTCTTTTTTTTTTCTTTTACTGTTGGCGGGCAACATAAAAGTGAAATAATTAAATGCGTTAAACTTGGGCAGCGAAAAGAAGATGCACGGAGGAACAGAAAAAGAAACAAATATATCAGAACATCTGCAATGTAAAACCTTCCCCCTTTCTTTAAATCTGGACAGATCCTCGATGATAATAATGCAGCTGATAGAAGAATTTGAAAAACATTCAACCTCTTCCAGTTCTCTTCGAATTTTTGAATCATTTCACCCCAGGCAGGGCTTTAAAGCCATTAAGATGCAACAGAGTTACTGAGTGTTAGAGAACGTGATTAAAAAAAAAATTATTAAGAGATATAATGAATATGCATACACCTGGGTTCCCCCTTAGTAATATGATTGGGTGGTGTCAGCCATAAATAGACTGATGTGGAGATACAGGACGACGCCTATAGTCTTCGCCTATTGCCTACACCTATTGCCTACCACTACGACGAGGACCAGTCTATTACAGTTACCCGCTAGATTGTCCTACCCAGTTACAGTAGCCAAAACCACTTTGCTACTTCGAACAAATATATCCCTTTCCGGGACATATCATTAACGATAAAAGAACTGGCTTTCTTGTGCCGTTTTTATGCTTTATAAACCTTTTCAGGTTATTTAAACCTAAAAAGAAAAGACTGTTTTTGGTAGATAATAATGGTCTAGCGATATAAGTTTTATTATTTAACCCATATATGGAGGACAAGAGGTAGATTTGTACTTTTTTCCCAAGAGTATTTACGCGCAAGTGAATATAACGAACCCAGTGGGAATTAGAACTTAGCTCTCTGATTAACAATTCCAAACAAGAATCCATTACACCACCCGCACATCCATGATTACAGCATCTGGTTTTCCCAAACGCTCTTTCATCTAGGTATTGACCAGGCTGGGCGTTGCTTAACCTCGGTGATCGTACTGGAACCGATGTTTCAATGTGATGTGTCCACAAGCAAAGAAGACAAACGATAAACATTGACATTGCATTTACATTTTTGCAGATGAAAATTGATCGGTAGCAAGAAGAGCCTATAATGTGTTATAAAACAGTTATAAGGCTGGCTTGGCCTACTGCACCCAATTAGCTACGATGTGAGCGTATATCGTCGGCGTGTGCGCGCGCACACATACGCACAAATATATCCACACACATCTGTGAATAGGAAGGTGTACATTGACCTTTTTTGGTGCCATATAAAATCCCCTTCCCGTGAGATATTAAAATCTCTTACCTTTGTAAAAAAAAAACGTGAAAAAAAAACTTGATCTGAACGGATTCAGTTAATGAATATTGCTTTTATAAGGCTCGAGAGCCGCTCGAAGTAGAAAATTTAATGTGAAAATGCAAAAGAATGATTAAAGTGTGTGATATAAATAAAGAAAGGATAGGAAATAAAAAATTTGAGGATAAGAAGGGGAGATAACAATTAAATTGAAGCGGTTAGTAGGGAAGTGTTCAAGAAAGCACCAAATATTTGTTTTACAGTAAGAAATTTTTTATCTTAAACTCAGAAAACTTCAGGCTAGGCGGGAAAAAGCGTCAACCTGTATTAGAAATAAACCTACCCCGTTAACTTATGCGTGATCCATATTAACTCTGTGATTCTGTTTCCTCAGGCCTAGTGTGTAATTTATTGTGGTGAAAATTCTTTATTTCGGCACATTTAACACATTTGCGTACATCATTTTCCAAGACTCGATGGTGTCCCGGCTACCAGGTTCCAGTTTCAATCGTTTTTGTGTTGCAGTTATCCCACAATGCACTTCATCATGTACACTTTTAATTTCTTCTTTTCTACATTTCCGGTGGTATAATTAAATCTCCATTACAAATTAGACCATTTTCTATTGATAGTTTGTGTCTCGTTTCTTTGTATGGTCTTTCTGCTTTTGAACAATTACTCCATTTATTGTTTCTTATTCTAGATAAAATTCGACTTAAGAGTGGATCCTGTAATGTCTTCATAAGTAGTCTATTCCTAGACAACACATCCGTTTCCAACCAACGCAAAAATTCACCCTCAACATTGTTATGCTTTTTTTTTCGTTTTTTTACTTTTCAAATTGTAGTCGGGACAATGCGTCTACGTGTGCCATCGTGTTTCCCTTCACGTATTCTATATAATCAAAAGCCATTAACTTCATAGCCCATCTTAATATTCTGGATAATGCAACTCTCGACAATTCCTTTTTAGGATGGAATATAAATTCTAAGAGCTTATGATCGTATCTCAACAAAACCTTTTTCATAATAAAAATTGTCTTGCCATGGTCATACTCCATTTAATCACAAGTACTTTCTTTTCAATTTTAAAGTAGTTCATTTCTGCTAGTGTCAGTGACCTGGGAAGATATGACACCGGGTGTCCTTCCTGGTACAAAATTGCTGATACATACTGACCACTCACATCTGTGGTTAATATAACGTCCGTTTTAGTGTAAAAAAATCTTGATGACAGTTTTCTTTACATAGAGCTTCTTTTAATTAAATGAAGGCTGTTTAGTGTGTACCTGTGTGTTTGGTGTGTACTAGTGTGTACTAGTTCATTCATCCTTATTCTTCTTTCACAACTCAGAAAACGCTTCAGTTCATTCATAATATTTTGACAAGAATTTGCTATAAAAAATTGGCTAATCCGAGAAATGATTCAAATTTTTTTATTAGTTGGGGAAGATACGTTTAATATTTTTTGTATTAACAGCGGGTTTCGCGAACTACTGTTTTATGAAATTTGATAATCCAAGAATGTTAATTCTTTGCATTTATCGTCATTCCTGCCTTCCTCAGATTATCCATTACAAATTTAATTTTTTGTTTCAGTTCTTCTTCAGTGGCCACACCTAAACTTATATCGTCCTGATAAATTATAATATTTTTTAATCTGGCGTTAACAAATTTCCCGTAGCTTTTTGAAAAATTGAGCCGTCTGTTTTAATTCAAATGGTAAGCGGAATCATCTAAGAAAGCCTGAGGTGGGAGAGAATATTGTTGTGATTTTCCTTAATTTCGTATCTATTTGAAGTTGGTGGTATGCATATCAATTTTCGTAAAATATTTCATTCCTGCCAGAGAATCTTACTTATTATAAAACGCAGATTGTGTGTGTGTCTGTGTGTGTCTGTACGTTTATATATTGGATCGGATTTCCTAAATTTTTCAACCGATTTCAACAAAACTTCACAGGACTATGTAAAATTACCTTGCGGTGGTTCTGACAGCGTCCAAAATTGGAAAAACACAATTGTTTTTGCACGAAATCATTTGAAAACACGATTAAGATGCATCGCTTTCGAGGAATGAAAAGGGGGACAACTCATATCGAGTTATACTTATTATAAAACCCAGGTTGTTTGTGTGTGTTCGTTTATATATGCGATCGGAGTTCCTACATTTTTCAACCGATTTCAACAAAACTTCACTTGTTTTTTTTTTGGCAGGTAGTGTTTCTTATTGTCTTGCACACTTTTTTCTTTATTTTTACATTCAGAATGCTTTAAAAAATTCATTTACAAGACAATTGTTTATAATAAAATTCTACTCAATCGGTAGACTCATAACGATTGAAAACAATGTTTTTGTTTGAGTTTGGGTTTGACCAATCCGTAAAAAAAACAAAAAACAAAAAAAAAAAACCTAATTAAGACATGCGTGTCCGTCAACCTTAAACAATAATCTTTGTCAATTTTATTTTTCAGTCTTTATGATGGTCGATACATGATCTATCTCTTCCCCGGGCAACACCGGGCTCTACTGCTAGTGTAGTATATTTTCTATGTTTGGAATAGGGTGGGAATCCGAACAGATCTTATGATCTACGCTTACTCTGTAATCTCTGAAAACCACAATAGGCGATACCCATTTGCTGCCTATAGGTTCTACATATTAAAATATGACTTCCTCCACCATTTTTTCACAGCTCAACTACCAGTGGCTTTATATAAATGGGAAGCCTACGGCTTTCAAAATACGGTGGATTGATATTTCTTTTTAACTTAAGGCTATGTTTATAGTTTTTTAATGACCCAGTTTCGGGACTTCTCATATTCATAGCATTAAGTAAATATGTCTTATTAATATTTATCAAACCAGTTCCTACTAAACTGTGCCTTCTTATACAGTCTATGACCATAAATGTGACTGTTTAAATTTTTTTTTTTGTTTCAAAAGTGTCTTGAAAGGAACCTAATATTTTTATGCAGGTTCCATCAAACTGTTTTAATCTTACTAAACTTTTCATTAATTAATTATTTTCTTCAGAATAATGGTTACGTCA